TCAGAATTAGCTTTGCATGGTAATGTGGACTCTGAGACTAATATTTATGCCTCTGCTTTGTTTTTGCTCTTTTCTTCCTTCCTTCTCTTTTCGGTTGTTCTCTCCTTTTTTAAGGGGTTTAAAAACCACTCTTGGCTTAGAGCACGTTCAGGGACCAAAACATACCATCTAGAATACTACATACTTTACACTAAGTCTCAAATCTGAATAGTAAAGAATTATTTTGATTACATCATTCAGAACTAAGGTACCTAAAGTTCTCTGCAATAAGAGTGCCGAACAATATATCAGTTAAAAATATAGCCCAATCTTTTGCCATACAAAAGAACACTTGTAGACTCCCACTATTGGATAGCTCAAGCACTTGAAAAGTGCACCTGTAAAAATTAAAGTCTGAATACATCTTTTTTTAAATTCCATCATTCTACTTTATTTTATTTCATTTCTTTTTTCGTGAGCCTGCAGCATTAATGCACATGTGGAGTAGTGTACACCAGTGGTGACTTTTTGGATATGTCAGTGACTTTCCTAAGGACCAATGCCCTGTACACTTCGCAACAGAACCAGTGCACAAGGTCAAAATTATCTCAATTTTTATCTCAATCAATCAACCAAAAAGTTGTCAACAAATACATATCAAGGTTACCTTGTATAAAACTTTCAACCCCTCACGTCTCTACAACTTTAACAAAGTATCTGTATAGAACAAGGAGCACAAAATAAGTCATGCATCTGGATTTTATTTAAGTGGGGAATTGGTGAGCACAATTACATGTACCACCACCTTGACTCAACTTCAATTCCCTCACAGTAAAATTGTGATTAAGAAAAGTATCAAACAATTTATTATTCACTGCAGAATCAAGCGTTAGGCTTACGAATAACTAAAAAAATGATCACAAACTTGAGAGAGCTCCTCCTTCTTATCTACATTCTCCTTATAAGTGTACGAAATGTATCAAGAACTGTAAGGAGAAAACACATACTGATGTTAAGGTGAAAGGGTCGACTTTCCTTTTCTCTCTTGGGTACAAAGGTGTCATTCATCTTTGCAAACGAATATCTTACCAGACATTCCTTTGTACTGTGGTGTTTGTGTTTTTCCAGCAAGGGGGTCAGAGTACCGGAGACATAAGCGAGTTTTGACCACCCAGTTTGGGTTTCTTACTCCCCCTCTACCTGCTATACATTTCCTTGTAAATAATTGATGAGAATTTAATGTAAGATCAAGATAAGTTAGAGTGTTCTCATTACATATTTGCTGAATAATGTTAGGATATTATAAGGAGAAGTTATATGTCAATCACTCCTTTATTGATACCTAGGTGATGCGCATAAAGATGCAATCAATAGGGGGGAGGGAGGGAGGGGGGTGGGGGGTAAGTTCCCTGTAAAAGAATAATAGGAGAGATCATTGTTGTCTTAATGAGCTAAGAAAAGTGATGGATATCACTTGAATTGTTGTGTATAACATGCTGTTAAAAATGTTTAATAAGTACAATCCAGTGGTGAATGAAGTCATCTTGGAGATTATCTTTTTTACATCTCGATTGCACGTTTTCATGCAGTATAATCGATGTGAGAAAGGCGATAGTATTCTTCACAGCCGAAAGAAAATCTAAAAATTTTGAAATATTGGCCAGAGAATGAAGAAGTTCAAATGACACTTCTTTTTATCTACTTTCTACAACTCTTAAGACTTTCTCTGGGGCGCAAAGTTTTGGAACACTTTCTTTAATTTTGCGCAAAAGAGAATTCATCAATATGCCATTTTATCAAATCTGACTTAAAGTCACTGCGGGAATAAAAACAAAAACAAGTCAACGTCATTCTAGTAAACTTGAAACAGCCACAGAATTTAGAATTGGAACGAAAACTAAATATTTTCTTTGATATCAGCTTAGATGTAGAAGGCCTATTTGGTGCACAGTTTTATTTTCTCGCTGACTGGAAGCTGCTGTTTCACAGTATTTTCTTTTCAGCCATTTGTGGCGGTAAAAACCACAATATTTCCATAGGGGCGTTTATTACATACAGTAACTACAAGCATGCTCCATAAATATCACATCTGATTTTCATCCATGGGAGGCCTTTGTATTTGTTTTAACACGGTGATGGTCGAATTCCGCTTTGGTTCTAGTTTCCCTCGACAGTTTTGAGGTTTTGCGGTGCCTTCAAACAGATCAGATAAAAAAAAAATGTGCTAAATGTCGTGCTGGAATTTGTTTTATTCTGTTTGTGTAGAGGGCTGGAATAGTCATTAAGACTAACATCTACTTTAAAAAAAAAGCAATTGATCGCGTAAATGTAAGTTTCGGCAAGAACGGAATTAAAGAGGTTCACTTTGAATAAATGATTCGAGACAACTTTTATCTCAAGTTTTGATAACTGAGTTGAATAAAAAAATACTTTTTGGGAATATAGTAAGAGGATAAAGTTCAAATTTCTTGACTGATCTTACTTTTTTTTCTGCATTGAGAAGTGGAATCTTCAGGACTTAATTACCTTCAAGCTGCACAGGTATTCTCGGTCGGTTGTGATTTGCGTCCACGGGGCGTCCTACAATAGAAACCTCATAGGGAGGTTTAGGAAATTTCCATTCTCCAAACTGATTAAAAATAAATGTCCTTAATCCATTATAATTTCAAATTCGTAGTTTTTAGGTTACGGAACCAACGTTAAACCAATTTTTGAAAGGACTTCTCTCAGACTCAAGTTTCAATGCACAAAGGCTGTGCATACAGAAACAAAGCTACTTGGCGACGATTTTGAAGCAAACGAAAACCAACAGCTGCAAGATTTGCCAAATTCCGACTTTTCTCCTGTACCTGAAAGCTTTCTTGTGTCGGTGAAGACCAATTCAATAACTGTGAATTTTGTATATTGAAAATTAGGCCCATTGTTTGTTTTGTAGTAATTCAATGCATGTTTTCATCTTGAGTGTGCCAACGCACTTTACGATTCTTATTCAAGGATTGTCGATGCTTCTATTTTCATTCATTAATAAAGTCGACTTTTCTTGGCATTAAAGGGCTTTTGTGTTTATATGATAAACAAAAAATATATGGCTGCTTGTAGATATGAAATTTCTCTTACTGTGTTCAACTCCATATCTCAACTCAGAAATCTTTCAAGTACACGCCGGAAATTGGCCGATGGTAAATATTTTAGCTGTTGATTTCCGTTCCCAGTCGGATTGCAGCATTTTTAGAAAGGAATGAGAAAAGGAAAATGAATAAAGTTACAGTACTTTTGTCATATTTATCTTATCAAACCCAAGAAATCAAAGTTTGTCAGGGATAAAACAGTGTGATTCCATTTTGTTATTTTTCTGCCCTACGGAGTGCGTACGTTTCGTTTCATCATATAAGGATTCCTCTGACGTTATTTTTTATCTTAAGGCTGATAAAGATTCCATGAAAATCATTTGTGTTTAATTTGTCGCCAAGTTACGCTTTAGACACTCACATCACTCCGAAAATTTGCAACATTTTTTAATAGATTCCAATTGTTTTAAGGCTGTTAGACTTAAACAGCGCATTTTTATTCTCAACGACAAACAGGAACAAGAAATTAATTATTAAGAGCATGAGAGATATTGACTATTATGACAGCAACTACTGAAACAAGCGCCGACGACAGCATCGTTTTCAGAGGGTTTTTATTTCTTATTAAAAACTCTGGAGGAGGCGTGCAACATGCTCTAAAAGGTAAGCCATTTTCCCTAGACATTAGCAAGTTAAAATCTGAAAATGAGACATTTCATTTTTAAATGATTATTTGGAAATAGTATGATACTTATTCTTTTCTGAAAAAAAATATCCGAAAAAAACTAAGAGATGATCCCCCTCTTCTGAGGTAAACGAAATTGCATTCTTAGCAGCTATGTAATGGGATAGGATGTAGGAATTATCATAACATCTCTGATCCTCTGACTAACAGTGAAGCCTAACGTCAGCCTTTTCTCACCTTTGTCAAATAATTTTTCCAAAGAGAGTATGTTAATTGATGACCAACACTGCCTTTATCAAGTCTCCAATTTTAAGTTTACAATGCACCAGAAAACCTTTAAATGTTGAATTCTTTGGCAGAGAATGATAAAAGTTTAAATTTTCCTTCTTTTTGTCGACTTTCTACAACTTTCCAAAACTTCCTGCGTGACGCAAGGTTTTGGAACAGTTTGCTTTTTTAATATTACGCAAGAGAGAATTCTTCATGGTGTCTGTTGCACGAAAGCATCACATTCGACATTCATGTCCTGGCAGTGTGCACGAAGTTTGTCACCACGCACATAGTTTAACAACTACGCCTAACATGACTTGGAAGAACATCCGAATACTAATCAGAACGTGGTAGGTTCAACTCCCACTGCGAGCACTCTGGGTCCTTTTTCTCCAAATATACCTCTGTTATTCACTCAAATATAATCTTAAAAAAAAAAAAAAACTTTGATATTTCCATAAGTATTCTATTTTGTATACCGTATGAACACAGATGATTCCTAGACGTCACCTTGGATCGTCATCCATAAAAGGTGTGTGTATTTAGTTTAAGAATTATGATGGCTGAGTTTACTAAGGTATTCTTATTTCTCAGAGATTTTTGTGTGTTGGTTTTTTTTTTTGCGCCAATTTTGAGGGGATTTCCTTTGGCGGTAAAACTTGTTTAAAACTTATGGCCCTTGCAATTGTGTCGACTCTTTTTGCTTTTTTAGCTAGAGTGGTGAAATAACGAGTTGCATCATTAAAAGGTAATCTCTTGTCACGGAAACGATTAGGCGGGGAAAATAATAAAAGAGGCCTTCAATTATTTTAATAAAATCTAATCAGTTGCACTTTTCTTATTCCTAAGATAGATTCGATTCAGAATTTATTCCTACGTTGCTTCATGTTTGTTTGTCTGTCTGTCTATCTGCTGTCATAGCTCTTTGTCTGTTGGTTGGCTAAGTAACCTGCACTTTCCAATTTCAGCATCAGTGGCAATGGCGTGGAATTCAAGCTTCCTAAACCTCCTGGCCTTTTTGTATCTCATGGACTTCGCTACGGCTAAAAATCTATGCAAGACAGAAGTCAGCGTACCTGGTATGGCTCTCGAAGGATATATCTTTCAGAAGATCCCAGTACCAGCTCCTCATGTGTGCGATATCATCTGCGAGAGAGAGACGATATGTCAAAGCTACAATTATGTAGTTGGGGAAAAGTCTTGTGAATTGAATACCCGAACCAAGGAAGCAAGGCCCGAGAATTTCCAGCCAGATGATTTACGCTTTTACATGGGACGCGTTCGTGGTAGAAGTACGTATCCAGTCTACTTTATTTTACATACAAATCTTTCTCAGCGAGTTCTTGGTAAAAACCTGCCACTTTCCAAGAGCAAGTGTCCGTTACTTTTTTTATTAAATAGGGCCAGTGTCTTGAAGCAAAATTCGCCCTCTATACTTCATTTATATCAACCAAATTCACAGCTCTTAATTATTATTATTCCATTTTTATCTTGCTCGGACAAATATATTTTCCACTCTTATCTGTTTTGCAACTTCTATTACCCTTAAACCATTAATGAAGTCATGTCTATATCGCAGCCCCCTTAGGGTCTATTCCCGAATTACCAGCGTTATCGTGCCAAGAGATAAATTTAAGTGAAGGTAAAGACAGCATCAGTAAAAAGTACTGGTTGGATCCAGATAATGTCGGGATTTCAAAGTTGGTTTATTGTGACATGAGCTTGGGAGGTAAGTCAGTATACCAAGAACAAAATTACTTTACACAGTGTTTGGTCTACCTTTACCCTTTCCTTTCGTGAAATGTTTTCACCTTGTCTCAATGTTTTCTTT